ACCCGCTGAGAAAGCGATCGAAAGCAGAAAGGCGGTAGCGCGTGGCAATTAATTAGCATAATCTACTGCCGAATATATATATATTGTATCTATGCGCGATCGTTAACGCGAAGTAAAGACTCAATCAAAAACTCATATGGCGCCAGTCGTCGTGTGTTTTATTAGATTTTTCGAAATAATTCGCTCAATAAAATAATCGCGTCGCTTTTTCAAGCACCCAATAACAATCGCTAATTGGCGTTCGTGCCGCAATCAGAATCGTAAGCGGTCTGATTTATCAATAGCAGGAAGTTCAAGAGGCTTTAACATACTTTATACTAGTGCGTAACCTGAAACGAAAACCGCAAAACGCGCGAGCCGCGTTTGATAAACTGCGCGCGTTTTTTTTTTTTTCTCTTCCAAGACAGACATCTTGATGCGCGTATGTACATACATACAACGTGCATCCTTTGCACGATTCATCGTGACGTCTTTTTCGGCGGCCAACAATCGCTAATTGGCGATTCGCGCACACGCTTGCTATTTGGCGCTGATATATTATCGTGACGTCGCGTTCGCGAAGGGTCGTTTATTTGCGGGGCACGTAGCAGCGCGGCGTACATTTTATCGCAGGTGGTAACTTAATTACAAAACGGAATACATATTGCACGATACGAAAAATAATTGGCCGGGCGATGATGATGTATCGGGACAAAATAATTTGAATAAAAATCGAATCGCGGTCGCAAAGATTCGCAAAGCGCACTTTCCCGCCAATGTCGTGATTCATCCTTGATTTGGACAGTAATTGAAGCTCCGGTTAATTATTATATATCTGCGTTACAAAAACCTTGAAGATAGCTCTGCCCTCTCGACAGTCGGAAATTTTCATTACTCTCGCGTGGTTGCAAATTACGACACTTGATGCCACGAGCAGCGGCAACACCAACGCAGATGGTCGCAAACGATACAGAAATAAATGACACCTGACTCGTTACTGTAAAATCATGCAACTGGCACTGGAGCTACAATGTTAATCGAATCGCCGTATTATATGGCTCCGATCCGGCAGTTAATTACAACACTGGGTGCCGTTGCGTTGTTATGTCTTCTCTTATCGACTCAACATTCTTATAATAATCAAAGCGTGTGCTCTGCTATATCTTTCTTTTCTCTGTCGCGGCATTGCAGGAATTATACAAAACATAATCGCATTCAAAAATTCATGCTCTTTTATCTACTTATCTACTAATTTAATGTATATTGGTTTATTGTATATTGGTGTAATATATATATATCTATAGATATATATAATATAATATCTATAGATATATATAATATATATAATAAACAAAGGTATTATGGCTATTGAAGCAAACACAGATGTCGATGTGTGAAAAAAATTACTTTACGAGAAGGTATAAAAAATTTTTTCACACATCGACATCTGTGTTTGCTTCAATAGCCATAATACCTTTGTTTATTAAAAATTCTTGAAGCTATATATATTTTTACATAATATATATATATATAATTATATATATCTATATCATATATATGTATATCTATAATATATATATATATATTATTTCTCCAATCT